AAATAAAAACAGTTAGTTAAACTGACACAAAAAACAAATAAATAAAAATAAAAACAGTTAGTTAAACTGACACAAAAAAACAAATAAATACAAATAAAAACAGTTAGTTAAACTGACACAAAAAACCAAATAAATACAAATAAAAACAGTTAGTTAAACTGACACAAAACCCAAATAAATAAAAATAAAAACAGTTAGTTAAACTGACACAAAAAACAAATAAATAAAAATAAAAACAGTTAGTTAAACTGACACAAAAAACAAATAAATAAAAATAAAAACAGTTAGTTAAACTGACACAAAAAAACAAATAAATACAAATAAAAACAGTTAGTTAAACTGACACAAAAAAACAAATAAATACAAATAAAAACAGTTAGTTAAACTGCTTTGCAACCTCCAAAACCAGCAGAATCTCTTTACATTTCTCTGATTATTTCATCTAAACAGAAATTATGTATTTAAATTAAATGATTCCTTTCATTGTAATTGGACTTAATTGTTTTTAAATTAATTTTCAATGAGTTGTGATTTGTGCCATTTTACACAAACTAAACTGATTCAAAATACTGTTTATAAATATTTTATAATCTCTCTAATCATTCAAATCTAACTAAAAATCCTACAGATTTTTGATAGGTTACATCATTCATGAGCAACTGTGATTATTCACAGACCCATTTTCAAGTTATCTACAAAATGTTTGGATTTTTCATTTTTAAATGTAAAATGTTTTTTTTTTAAATGCTTACAAAATTATTATTATTAAGGCTTCTTTACATATAAAATAACCCTGTTCTCCTGGAGTACAGAACTTGATAAGAAATGTTCTAAACCCCTTACAGTAGACTAGACCCAATTTCTGTTTTATTTTATTATTATTATTATTTTTTATTTTATTTTTGCCTGCCTCTTTCTGTTCCTTTGTATGATGTTAAATGCTTGATAACCCGCATTTAACTCTATAATGCCAAAATATTATATTTGATAGATCCTTATTTCTGAAGTCTTTTGGATGTGAGACTTTCTGCATCATTCAGTGGTAAAAGCTTTGCTCAAACCCCTGTTGTACACATTCAGATATACCTGATAACAGCCAGTAGAAGACCACACCAAAATATATTTTTGACTTATTGCACGCTGATTTGATCAAAATAATTTCTGTTTTTTTTCTTCATATGTTGTTGAGGGGCCAAAGAAAGACTTCAGACTAAAAGAAAATCCAATATTCTTCCTATTATTCTTAGATCAGGCTTTAAAGGGTTAAGGCAATAGAGTTTAAAAAAACAAACAAAAAAACAATATAATATTTGTAATTCTGCTTATTTCACCTCCCAGAACGATGATCTTCCTCCGGGTCTCCTCACACAGGAAGTGCTTGATGAGGTTGTAGGCCATGGGGAACATCCTGGGAGCTGAACCACACAAAACCGGGTCAGAACCGGGTCAGAACCGGGTCAGGACCGGGTCAGGACCGGGTCAGAACCGGGTCAGATGTCCGGACCAGGTCAGAAACCAGGCCGGACTGGGTCAGAATCGGGTCCGAACCGGGTCAGAACCTGTACCAAACCGGGTCAGATGTCCGGACCGGGTCCAAACCGGGTCCGAGCCGGGTCAGAACCGGGTCAGACGTCCGGACCAGGTCAGAAAACACACTGGACCGGGTCAGAACCTGTACCAAACCGGGTCAGATCTCCGGACCGGGTCCGAACCGGGTCAGAACCTGTACCAAACCGGGTCAGATCTCCGGACCGGGTCCGAACCGGGTCAGAACCTGTACCAAACCGGGTCAGATGTCCGGACCGGGTCCAAACCGGGTCCGAGCCGGGTCAGAACCGGGTCAGACGTCCGGACCAGGTCAGAAAACACACTGGACCGGGTCAGAACCTGTACCAAACCGGGTCAGATCTCCGGACCGGGTCCGAACCGGGTCAGAACCTGTACCAAACCGGGTCAGATCTCCGGACCGGGT